ACTTCACTCTCTCTCTCTCTCTAAGGAGGAGGTGAGCTTAGCTTCACAATAAGCTAGCAATAATGTGATTTAATTAGTTTATTAAATATTATTTTATCTATTCTTAATGTAAATTCAATAGAGACCGATTTTATTATATTGATTCAGCTGCTTTAATTGGTTATTCATTTACTTCAAATATTTGACTTTCCTCAATTTTCACATATAAATACATCTAAAACATGTAATTCGAGCTTAACAGGCCGTGATTAAAAAAATGTCTTCTACACTCGCATGCATTAAGGCTAGTATATATAAAGCCCCCAAGGCCAATGAATAGTATTTTTTTGGTGTCACAAGCTTTATAAAAAAAAAGAATTTGGACAAAAATGCTCCTCAAACAAAAAAACTTCAAAAGCAATCCAAATAATGCATCAAATGTGGCAGGAGTATTTTCGTCATTTTAACAATTTTTTTTAATAGGTATCTCACAATAGGTTAGTAATAATATGATTCAATCAGTTGTTCATTAAATATTATTTTCTATATTTTTAAACACGTTCAAAACATCTTAAAAGTAGTGTAATCCTGGTTATAAAAAAAGTATTTTGCACGCGGATAATAATGTGATTAAATTAGTTGTCAAATTATTGTTTTTTTTTAAACAAAAGATATTATCTACACTAAGAGGGAAGGGGTGGGCTTAGCCGCACAATGGCTAGCAATAATATGATTCAATCAGTTGTTTATTAAATATTATTTTATCTATTCTTAATGTAGAGGCCGATTTTATTATGTGGATTCAGCTGATTTAATTGGTTTATGAGGGGTTTCTTCCAACATGATCTAAGATTATTCATTTACTTCAAACATTTGACTTTCCTTTTGTCAATGTACGCATATAAATACATTTAAAACGTGTAAGTCGCGTGTAGCACGCCGTGATTAAAAAAATACATTTTGCACGCGTGTGAGCGTGTGCATAAAGGCTAGTCTATCTTAAAGCCACCTGTCCCCTTCTAACCCAAAATGTTGTCAGCTTCCCTGAAGTGAAATCTTAATTGGGCAGCTCTACTCCACTAAAAACTTAACAATTGTTTAGGTGTAATAACCACAAGTGCTAAATTACTTAACAAAACACATATAACGTACCAGACACTAGAGAGAAAACATCTACCACTTTCCAATTGAAAAAAAAAAAAAAAAAAAAAAAAACAAAAACAAAAACAAAAACAAAACTAGTCACATTAAGATGGTTTATTACACATGAAAGGTTTGATTTATTTTTTATGTTGTTTGCAAATTATTAGGTACGAATCAAAGTTTATCAAGAAAATTGTTAAAGTGATTGGAGACAAGTTAAGTCGCACACTATTGAGTGTTGAACCAAAATTGATTGGAATTCAATTCCAAGTTGAACGCATCAATTTGTGGTTACAAGATGGATCAAGTGATGTTGGTATACTTCTTGTGTATGGCATGTCTGGAGTAGGGAAGACAACCATTGCGAAACATGTTTACAATTCAAATTTTAGAAGCTTTAAAGGAAGTAGTTTCATTGAAAATATCAAAGAAAGAGCAGATGGACCAAATGGCTTAGTTCAAATACAAATGCAACTTCTTTCTGATATTTTGATCGGTAGAAAAGTGAAAATACAAACTATTAGTGAGGGAATAATTAAGATTGAAAGCGCCATAAGCTCTAGAAAAGTTCTACTTGTCCTTGATGATGTGGACCATATGGACCAATTAGATGCAGTACTAAAAATGAAAGATCGGTTTTATCCCGGAAGTAAGATACTTATAACAACTAGGCGTGAAAGATTGCTAAGAGCACATCAAGTTACAAAGGTGTACAAAGTTGAAACTTTGAATTACAATGAATCACTAGAGCTTTTCAGTTGGCATGCATTTGGCCAGAACCGTCCCATAGAAAATTACATGGAGCATTCAAAAATGGTAGTGCAACATAGCGGCGGACTTCCATTAGCTCTAAAAGTTTTGGGTTCTTCTTTATCAGGGGAAAGTATGGATGTATGGGAAAGTGCATTAGAGAAGCTAAAAGTTATCCCTAATGGTGAAATCATGAATAAACTAAGAATAAGCTACGACAGTTTACAAGATGACCATGACCAGAAATTATTCCTCCACATTGCTTGTTTCCTAATAGGAAGGGGCAAAAACTACATTGTTAGAATACTCGATGGATGTGATTTCTATACAATTGTTGGCATTCAAAATCTCATTGATAGATGCTTGGTGACAATTGATGGATACAACAACGTGCAAATGCATGACATGATCCGTGACATGGGAAGAGAAATTGTTCGCCACGAATCAGAAGAGTCTGGAAAACGTAGTAGATTATGGCGCCATAAGGATTCTTTCGAAGTACTGAGGGAAAAGAATGTAAGAAACATGCCTTTTATGTCTATATATGTATTTCTCCTTGTGAAAATTATCCATAATAATGTTTTAACTTTTTCTTTTCTTTTCTGTTAGGGTACACAAACAATTCAAGGTCTTGCCCTGGATATGCGTATGCATCTTGCAAACAGACCAATAAACACAAATGAGACCGTCTTGGAAACCAATGCATTTGAAAGGATGCGCAATTTACAACTACTCCATCTTAGTCATGTACGACTGGATGGATGTTATGCAGATTTCCCTACAAGATTAAGATGGTTGTGTTGGCTTCAATTTCCATTGGATTCTATACCTGTTGATCTTCCTTTGGAGTGTCTAATTGTTCTTGAAATGCAACATAGTAGCTTAAGACAAGTCTGGAAAGGAACAAAAGTATGTTACCCTATGCATTTTAATTCATTTTCCTTATTTTGTTAGTTTTTTATTTGTTGACTAACTCCATGTGTTAAAATGAACTCCTATGTTTTCTTTAATTCGATGACTAATTTCTTATGTTAGATACTTATTCATTGTTTTTTTTTCTTTTTTCTTTTTTACCTTTGTTTCCACAGTTTCTTCCATCGTTGAAGATCCTTGACGTTAGCCATTCTCATGGCCTCACTGAAATCATGGACTTCTCACTTTGCCCTAGTCTAGAAGAATTGATTCTTGTTGATTGCACCAGCCTGATTGATGTTCATGAGTCAATTGGAAACCTGGAGAGACTCGTGTACTTGAATACGAAGGATTGCAAGAATCTTAGGATGCTTCCGAAGAACATGTGCATGCTTAAATCACTTGAAAAACTCATTTTATCTGGCTGCTCAAATCTTGAAGAGTTTCCAGTAGAGATGATGAAGAAGATGGTGTCTCTGAAAGTTCTTGAAATAGATGGAATTCCAATAAGTGAATTGTGGCCAGAAAGAAGTTCAACTATCTTGAGTTCTTTTCCATGCTCTTTACTAGAGTTAAGTCTCAAGGGGTGCAATCTTTCTGATGATGCCTTTTGTAGGGATTTAAGTAGTCTATCCTCGTTGCGAAAACTAAAGTTAGATGAGAATCCAATTTGTAGTCTGCCAAGTTTCATCAAAGGTTTGAGGGGGCTCGATAAACTCTCTTTCAAGGGTTGTAATAGACTCGAATCGCTTGTGGGGTTGCCAAAAGTAGACGAAAGCATGAATGTATCCGAATGCATATCGTTGAAAAAAGTAAAATATCAATCGTTTAGAGGGGTCCATCTACAGGTCTTTATAGCACACATCGACAAAATAGTTGAGTGGGAGTACCTTTTCAAGTTAGAGCCTATTGAAAAAGTTGATGCGGAAATGATCAAACTTTTGGGCTTGTGCAACTTGGGATCCATGCCTGCAATTCGAATGAAGAGCCAACCAGGTTCCTTCTATAAAGAAGAGGGTAGATGGAGTCTCGTCCAGGTGCGCTCTCTCTCTCTCTCTCTCTCTCTCTCATATAAGTCATATATATAATGGGAAATAAATGACTTAGTAATGTTGTGTTGATCATGGAAAATGCATAGGGACTGTATCAATTTGGTATATTCAGCACATTTTTTGTTGGGAATGAGGTTCCAGGCCGATTCAGCTATAAAAGTACCAAGTCCTCCATATCTTTTAGTGTCCCTTTACTCCCTTCTAGTCACAGAATCCGAGGCTTGAACATCTTTGCTACCTATGCAAACGAGGAGAATTATAATTCTAATGATGGTGGATGGGAATGGGTTTCAAACATAATCAAAGTGAGTAACAAGAGCAAGGGTCTGAAGTGGATCTATTGCCCATTCTTCTATGGTATCCCAGGTGACGGAGAAGATATGATATGGTTGAGCCATTGGAAGATGGAGAACGAAACAATATTACAATGTGGAGATCAAGTGGTGGTTTCAGTAATGACTGGACCAAATAAGATGTTTCGGATAAAGGAGTTTGGTGTCGAGCTTATGCAAGAGCACCAGAATAATATGATGATAAGTACCCAACACAACACCAAATCAGATCCTCATTATCCATGTGTCATCGGTGGAGATTTGTCCGTATGGGAGCATATACCAGGAATATACTGCCTTGGTTTCGATGGCAAATATGTTGAAGACGAGGTGCCGATATGGTTTAATCGCCTCATCATGGACACTGACGAAGGAGACACAGGTATGCTGTGTTGTATTGCAATGATTTATACTCTATCCAAATACTTACAAGTCCGTCTATATTCAATTCAAAAACATAAATATTATGTTATTTGTATGTTTTACAGACAAAGAAGGGCAAGAGGATGAACCTGATTACACAATTGCAAGGACAAGGGTTGCCAGTAACAACTGCGGCCTCAGAGGTTGGAAGGTGCTCGTCACAGCTGCCGGATTATTTTTCACGCTTGCTCTAGTAGTTCGGTCCTCCATCTCCCAGAAAAAGAAGCAACACTAGTCCACAAGCCATCCATGAGTTTGTAATTTTATTTGCTCAAGTTGTTTTCTGCCTTCAAAATATTGAAGTTTTCAGATGTGTTCAACATCATCAACTATTGCATAAATATAGCATAAAATACATCCAACATATAATCCCGTACTAGAGAAGATAAACAGATGGTTGTATACTAGCAGTAAATAATTGAAAAAAAAAAAAAAGATTCTAAACATACAAGGGAAGGACTTTAACATAGGTATCATTATTCATTAGCAATACCAGGCAAGAATCAATTCTTCAAATTGGGGGGAAATATTTCGGCATCGAGGAAAGCAAAAACATCCTATCTGCTTATAAATGTCAAATTTACAGATCTTAATTATCAGTTACAACAAAATCACACTTCTTAAAGACTCGGCTCCCATTGAAAAATTGTGTAAATTATACATAAATATCAGTGCAACAGATAATAGATTGAATAATATATCAAATAAATTAACAGCAGACAATTTCTTAGCCTGAGATTCAAGGACTATACAGCTGATTCAGCCTTGCATTGCTACTGCACTACGGAAGCTGGTTTCTGCTTCTTCAACCCGAACAAATTATTGAGGTCCGGAAGCATAGGAGAAACGACCATGGTCTCTGGAGCCATGAAATTTACTATCTTCTCATAAACATTATACCTGCAAAAGCATAATGCAATAAGCCTTAAACAATCTAGCCTAGTTTGCTCAACATATGCTCCAAGATATTCCAAAACAAAATCACAGCAGTTTCACATAGGGAACCGAAGAATCTATTGATACCTTATCTTGCGACTATTAGAGGCTCTTCTGTCAACAATCTTCCTCTTCTTAGCATGCAACTTTTTCAAGGAATAAAATGATGTCTCTGCGAATAATCAAATAGTGCAAAATCAGAATCAATAAACAAAATAAGTTCAGGATCAATTAGGTTGTGATTGTTAGCAGGAATAACTGCTAGCTTGTTTCATTTTTGAAGTTACAAAAATATAAAAAATTGAAGAATAGAAGTTCGGGACCGATTAGGTTCCAAGCCCACTATAAGCAGAGACAATACAATGTCATTGACTTCAATAGCTGCAGATGCAGATTGTTTGAACGAAACTTTTCTCATGGCTCAGACTTAGTTACTTAAAGTTGGTTAGATGAGTCCAAATTGTTTGAAAATCATGTTCATCCACTCTACATATCCAAAGCAGCAAATTAACGAGGATACTGTATATAACTTGGGGGGATACAATCCTTAACAATTTCAAAAGCCACACTTTTTATATGCAATCTGATTGCATGTGTTTTGAACTACAGGAAATCTTATAGATTGGGTAAACCGTATCATATATGAAATTCAAATGCAATCATACATATATGAAGTATGACATGCCCTAATAGTTTTACCAGAAGTTGCTGGGTCAATTGTATCAAAAAATTCTTTCAGTAATTGTTGGCAAAACTCAGAGTCATCCAAAAGTTCGAGGTCACCATCAGCTTGTGCACAGCATCAGATTGTGTCTCCTATCAGAGTGAAGGAATGAATGTACTTAATTTGTGCAAATAGAAATATAACTTTTATAACACATAAAAGATAATTAAAGCAGACCTTACAGGCTATACATCGAAGTGGAAAATGAATCAAAATTTTAAACATAAAGATAGAATAAAAGCTAATGGCGCATGAAGAGTATTGAAACCATCACAGCCCTCACACATGGGTTGCATGATCATTTCTTAAAGCAATAAAAGGAACAAATTCATCAAGTCACACTGGGGCCATCCAAAAAGAAAAACGAAGCAAAGTACCAAACACCACAAACAACCCACATTTGTTCAAACATAGTATCAAATTAATTATAAACTGCATCCATCCCAAACGATGAATTTGTACCTCATTTGGGAGTTAAAAACTTCAAATAGCACATGGAAAAAATGTAAATTCTATGGACATTCGACTCCAATGAATTTACAGATGGAATCTTAGATTAGTATAGGATTATAGTTAACCACAATTATATGCAATCAGTACCTCTCCCTTTGCAGTGTTGTACCCCTCAGGGACCTACACATCCACAACTTATGTTTAAGTTACTAAATGTACAAAACTTAAGAAAAACCCATCTTGTTATGATGTTACAATTATGAAGCACAAATGAGCATGCACGTGGGAGCTAATATCTTACAGTACCAAATACAGCAACTGCTGATTTCCTCATCTACATCTGCCTACCTCTGCCATTTGTCTATCGATTTGAATCTGAAAGTAGCTATTCTACAAGACACAATGTGACAGGTCTTGGTTGGACCAAGTAACCCACATAGAAATGCACACAATAATGAAAAGTTGATCATAGTAGAACAAATTTCTAAAATTCATGCAAGAGAAGTTGTCGGAGCATGAAAGAATTCATAGCAGAACTGCCCAAGAGTATACTTAAAGTAAACATATGGCAACATAGATTTTTTACAAGTATAATATACAAATGCATTTCATGGTTCTTTGCCGGCCCTTTAGATAGCAAACTAATTTAATTAGTGCCTAACGGAATGACTTCAGAAAACCATCGTCTGGTACATGTCATATTGAACAGTTGACAAACTTAATAACATAATAGCCTCATTTATTAACTGATAAGAACTATGTATTAAAATATAACAAGTTAGACACTAAGGTATTGAAATACAGCAATAATAGTAAGGTACTTGAATCCACACGTTTACGAGCATTTTAACAATAAAACAACAAAATTCCGAAGTTCTTTTTTGCTGCTCCAAATGGATCGGTGAAGTGTGGCATGAAGAAGGAAAAAAAAATCAGTTTTATAGGTAGACTTCAATACAATAAGAGCATATCTAGATAGTAGAATATGATTCTTCTTCTCAGAATATCTAATTATGATCTGAGTACCTCGACAGCAACTCAGAAATCTGTGACCAATCCTCATCACCATCAATGCAACTCAGAAATCTGTGACCAATCCTCATCACCATCAATGTTCTTAGATGACTGTGACATCCTAGATCATCCAGATTTACCTACAGAACAGGATATGTATTAGGAGAAGAAATACATGAACATATGCAGTATGAAGTTAATGAAAATGCAAACAGTACAAAGTAGGACATTCAATTAGACCATGGTAGCCCAAAAGCCAATTTTTTTGCTAAATCAGGCTAAGGTTTATATGAGATCAAGCAGGAAAGATTTGTGCCCACATCCTAGGGCAATTTGAAATCTGGCTTCATCTTGGTTATCCTCAGATCAACAAAACAAGGCCCAACCGATTTACCTTCCCTGCCAACATTATGCTTTTGACAACTGCAACAAATACCTACCTCTAGAGTGGTAATTTAATTGATGTTTCTGTAATCCCAAAGTGTCTAATGTTTGTCGAAAACAACTGTATTTCTGACCAATTGGACTACTTTGAACTTCCCACCTATTATGCGCAAACCGTCACCTATTAGGACTGGTGTAACCTCAATGGGAACTCAGCACAAACTTCACTACAATTTAGCAGACCAAGAACTGGTGTGCCAAGATTTACGTGGGATAAGCTTGGGCAAGGCTGAGCTCAATCCATTCTTCTTGATTAACAATCTTACACTCTTAATGATAACTTAGTACCAGCATAATCTGACTAATTATAGTAACTATTGTAGTGGAACTTTCGAAATTTGGGGAACCCTCACAATCATATGAAATCGAGGAAACTTGAAGCATTTCCTTAAAGTTTGATTTGATAAAATTAAACTCTATCTCAGCTAATAGTACAGTTGTAAGCTAAACACACTTTATGAGAATTTAAACGGTTATTAAAAACTTCAAACACAAAATGCAATACACAAAGCATATCTACAAATCTCACATATTGGCAATTCTTATCATGCAGAAAATGATAGATTATGCACAACAATGGAAAGCCAAATTGTATTACAAAATAACTATAATAGTTTGATAAATGTCGTTTGCACACACCATCTGTTGCTTGGACAAAGGACGGGTTCTTCTCAAGTAAAGCCTGTAGTTTGCACACACTAACTAGGTCAGAATACGTTGCATTGACACCCTCATGTGAATCACAAAATAAAGACCTAATTGGCTCGTGCAGACAACCTCTCAGGTAAGAACATAAATCTTAACATGTCACAAATCTAAAAAAAGGGGGAAATGCAAAAGCAACCTGTGGCAATCCATGATTCTATGTGAACTTGAGAATGCTTTCTGAAGCAAGAATCTGAACTCAAGAGCCTTGTCCCACAGAGCCTTCAGAAAAATGAAAACAAAAGGCATAGAAAATGGGTAAGAATAAACATCGATCAGACAATAATTCACTACATAAATCATTTTTTTCAACTTTAAGGATTTGCATAAAAAGAAGCTTTAAACAAGGAGCAATAATTTGATGTTGAAAAACAAAACCTATTTCATGGATATTACAAGAGTTATTATTTTGAACAACGCACCTTTTCACTGCTTGACCCTTAAGAAGATCCTTCTTTAAAATATCACTACATGGGAAGAGAGAATAAACGAAGAACAAAATTAACTTCATATGTCAGCCTATACAACTCCATTTTGTGCTAAGATGAAAATTAGCCTTGCGCTAAGATGAAAATGGCACTAGTGTTCAATTCCTATAGCTGCAACTGCTATGCATATTATCTCCTATAGTCACATTATATAACTCCATTTTGTGCTTTCTTAGTAACAAAATTAATTTAAATTATTCAATAACTTCTGTAAACTAATATCAAATTTCGTCACCAACCTCCAACTGCTATGCATATTATCTCCTATAGTCACATTATTTAGCTCTATGTCTTCATTCTAATGAAGCATCACAAGTTTATAATTAAAAATGAAAGGATTTGTGAACAGAAGTCTCTTACTGCTCCTGATGACGAAGATTCATGTATTCTTTCTCGACTTCTTCCATCTCGGCATCTTTATTAACGTTTTGCCCATCATCATTTTCCTCTTCCCCAACTTCTTCTCCATCTTCTTCCTCATTTTCTGATTCTTCTTCCTCCTCCTCACCGTCGTGCTCACCATCAAAGTCATCCTCTTCCTGCTCCATCTACATCAAAAATCATCAATTAACAACAAAATCACCACAACAAACTGAATAATTACCGAAACCCATTGCTGTTGACATCGCCATCATCCCCAAACCCACTGTCACTGTCAAGAGCCTTCATCTCCATTATGACGTATGAGCCCCTACAAATTCAAACACCCAATTAGAATTTAATTCCACAAGGATTTAAGCTTTGATACAACTTCATTTCAAATATCCAAACCAATTTACGAAACCCAAACCTTCTGAAGCTGCAAGGAGAAAAAAGACGACGAGAGTTGAGAGAGGCACAAAGGAGTCCGAGAAGAACCTGCAGAGTTTGGGTTTTGGAGCCGTTTCTTAAACCCAAACCCGTCTTCTAAAACAAGTCCCAAAATCTGTCGATTATTTTCCCCTTCCTAGACCAAAAAACTTTGGGCCCTTAAATAAGCCTCATGGGCCAGTTAGGCCAATATTAGATTGAGCCAAGTCCGTCTTATTTGATTAGTACTTTATTGCGCATTCCACGAGAACAACTTATTTACTACAATTTAGTGTCATTTCTTTTTATTTGTAAATGATACATTTTAGGTTTGACTCACGTAAATGACTAACTCAATACTAAATTATGATGTTTGGCTCATTGTGCGGCTAGTTTGAACTTCATACCTATTAAAGTAATGATAAAGACTTGCCTAAAATAGGAGTGACAGATTGTCGGATGTATCCCAAGCCAATTTTATAACAGTTTCCCTCCAATCTCTCAACTATGGCTAGATGTCTTTTATTTGTGGATTTGGAATACAATTGACCTAGTACACTTGTTTCATATTAATCTTTCCTGCATTCAACACACAACATCATAGTTTTCATAAAATGAGCACCACATATAGGGGTTGTAGACATGCTCGAAATAATTTGAATTAAGCTCAGCTTTTTAGTGAAATGAGTTGAGCTAAAAAAATTGCTAGACTCATTAAAAAAAATGAGTCAACATGGAGTTTTGGTATTTTCAGCTCATAAAGCTAGTGAACAGCTCATATCTTTCATGAGATAGCTCATATCTTTCACTAGAATTCTTTATATAGGACTGACTGGGCTCCTATTTTAAATTACAGGTCAATCCCCAATTTTATGCATTTAAGTGGATCACCCTCATCTTAACCCAGGAGTTCAATTTCGCTGACAGCCTTCACACTTGGGATACACTTCAAGTGATCTGAGGGTCCCCAGGTAGTACTATATCCTTTTGGATTGTATAGACCGTCTGTTTTCAAGGCATGAAATGAAAAAAAAAAATTGGCTTTTGGTTTTTGCCTCCTGAATTATCTGAACGATTGATTACAATAATGTGTGTAGTACATAGTATTTTTAAGCCCGAGGACTAAATTATTAATGTATACAAATTTTCTTATAAGAAAACTTTCTACATGTTTTCTCACTCTTCTTAGTTTATGATTGAATTTTATACTCCTTTCATTCATTAATTTATGAAATGGGTTGTTTTTCTTTTGTGGTTTCAGTAGTTAGGTCTTCAGTGACTGCACAATTTCATGGTGTTTTTACTATCTCAGAAGTAATTGATAGAGTTGGATGTGATTCGGGCAAGTTTGCAAACATCCATTTTGTTTTGATTCGGGCACCTTCTACCAGACTGTATAGAACATAAAAAAATTATTTGATTGCGCTGTTATGTATTTATTTTTTTATTTTTTATGGCAGTATCATTTTCTCAACGAAATAGAAATTACTTAAATAAATAAACTACGCAAGCAATGAATCTTCAATGAGAACTCCATATTTTCTCGGGTTGGACAAAACCAGCAGGTGTTTCTTCACAAAATTTACATGCCCATCTCTTAGATGGACATAAAGAACATCAATTGTGTCTCTTACTTTTTTTGGTTTAACTGTAAGTTATGATTTTTGATACCGTAATGAGTTTTTTTGTCATAATGCATATGAAGACCTTTGACTCTGTTGGTTCTGTGTTTGAAGCCAGAAAAACTCATATGTCGCTTTTGCAGTTTGATTAGTAGTTGTTAATTAGGATTGGCTAATTCTTTTACTAAGAATTTGTTTTTACTCACTCTATTGGTTCTTCTTCATATAAGTATATAGAAATTGCATCATCAGACTAATTAGAATTAGTCAGCTTATGGGTGTGTTAACATGTTTAAATAGTAGTACTTAAAACTCAAAATATACTGGAGTATTTCTGTCATTAATTTGTATCGAGCTCGGTATTTCATAAGAGTTGAACATGAAAGCTTTGTGGAAAGGAATAAAATTAGACCATACCATTTTATGTATGTTTGATTACATTGCTTATAATAGTAATAATTACGTTTTATTCACATTGTAGCTCTCATGGAGTCCCCTGCTCAAACATGTGTCAAACCGAATAACAATGGACTGCAGATATCAAACAATGTGGCTCACAAAATTAAGCAGGAGATTTAGGATGGTCAGTTTGCGGATACACTCCCGTTTAATTTTCAAATTAATTTAGTAATTGTTTGTGAATGAATTCAATTAGAACTCACATTTCTGATTTTTTTTAATTCATTGGATTATTAAACCGTGTCATTATAACATAATCTCAGCTAATGTGACGTCAATATATTTGCCTAATTTTAGGAATGGGAAGTGATTATGGTGAACGAAGCTCTGGAGTTCAAGTTTGTACTTCTGATTCTCATAGGCTAGATGGATGGAGAAAATCAACAGGAACTTATTCACTGTCATACAAGGTATACTTGAATCAAAATCTATTTTGTTATGCATTGGAAAGTGTTTCTGTTTTATGGGTCGACAACTTAACTTACAGATAATGCAGTGGTCCATCTAATCATGTCATGTGTTGTGACTGTTTTTATTTCAATCAGTTTAACTCCCCTTTTTAACCCTTGAATAAGCTATGTTCAGTTGAATGTATATAAAAGCCAAGCTGCTTATCTTATCGACCTCATTCACTCATGTATTCCTCTGTTCATTCATGACAGTTGGTTCCCGCTGCAACGTGGTGGCTTATTATCTAGTGGTCTTCTAAAACAAGTCCCAAAACCTGTCGATTATTTTTCGCTTCCTAGACCAAAAAACTTTGGGGCCTTAAATAAGCTTCATGGGTCAGTTAGGCCAATATTAGATTGAGCCAAGCCCGTCTCATTTGATTAGTACTTTATTGGCATTCCACGAGAGCGATTTATTTACTACAGTCTAGTAACATTTCTCTTTATTTGTAAATGATAGATTTTAGATTCGACTCATGTAAACGACTAACTCAATACTAAATTATGATGTTTGGCTCATTGTGTGGCTAGCCCGAACTCCATACCTATTAAAGAAATGATAAAGACTTGCCTAAAATAGGGATGACAGATTATCGGATGTATCCCAAGCCAATTTTATAACAGTTTCCCTCCAATCTCTTAACTATGGCAAGATGTCTTTTATTTGTGGATTTGGAATACAATTGACCTAGCATGCTTGTTTCATATTAGTCTTTCTTGCATTGAACACAAAACATCATAGTTTTCATAAAGTGAGCACCACATATAGGGGTTATAGACATGCTCGAAATAATTTGAATTAAGCTCAGCTTTTTAGTGAAATGAGAGACATAAGAATTACAAGGGAATCGCTTTGAGAGATTGTGAGGGGTGTAAGATACCAAAAACTAGGGTTTGCAAAAGCATAGGGGGGTTCTTTTAACTAAAGAGGCTTTTCATACTAGTGAGATATCTTGGGTAACACCTGTTGTACTTTTATGCGCAAACGGAAGCGAATTTTAACAAAATACCAATATCAACGTCATAGGTGAAAACTAAAACAAACAATCTCAAACTAACACAAGAGATTTACGTGGTTTGGCGTAAAGCTTACATCCACGAGCGAAGCATGACGAGGAATTTCACTAAACAAACAGAGATTACAAAAAAGTGTTTAAATTCTCACAACCCAAATCCCACAAATTACAAACCTTAAACCAAACGAGTAGAGAACCCAAACAAACGGAGAAGATTCTCCCAAATTGTGCTCTAACTCATAAACTCACAAATTGACTCTCACCAAATTGCCACACGAATGAGCCACGCGTTTGCCACCCATTCATGATTCCAAACGGTGACCTCCACCCCAAAACCCAATTAGAGAAAACTCTCTAATCCATGGTGAGGCACACAAAATACACTAACCCTAAGGTCCTATTTATAGTGCATAGGACTTAGGTTACAATAAAAATCCTAATAGGAAGTAAATATAAATCCTAATCAAATAGGTAATTAACAAAATCTCTCCACCAAATAAACCAACTAAGAAGTCAAAATCCAA